TCTCTTGTGAAACATTCAGTGCCTGATTTCATTGGGATATTTTAATTTGAAACAACAAACCTAAACAATGTAGAATATGACACTGACAAGTGGGAAGGTTTTCCAGCCCATTGGAAAACAAAGTGGATTTGTTTTCTTCAGGACATTTTCTAGAGTTTTGATTTTAAATACCCAGAGTGTAAAGGCACACAAGAAACCACTTTGCAAAATGGATATGAACCCAGCTGCAGGTCCTGTGTGTGTCTTGTCTTCTGTTACTAGTGAGCTGTGATTTTTCTAGACCCTGCAATTGAGGGTTGTCCAACTCAGCTGTACAAGAAGGCAGCCTGGGTCTGACTGTCCTGTGTGTCAGGTGCTGCTCTCTGTATGTCATTGCTCTGCTCCTGCCCAGGATGGGACCAAATCCCACTGCTGCACTAGCACATTGCCAAGCCCTTGTGACCTCAAGCAGCTCAGACCTTGGTGATCAGTTCTGCTCCAGGAGCAGAGGCAGCGTGGACAGTGGCTCGTGCTTGGCCAGCCTTAAGAGACAGGTCCTCACTGTGGCCTCGGTCAACCAAAGCTTGCTCAGAGTTGTTCAGAAACCTCCTCTGGCTCAGAACAGTGCTGTTTTGAGCCTTTACTCATTGTGTGTGATACAGAGACATGTGCCTTTGCTCAGTGCCTCCAGGCTTTTTTTATAATTAAATGGACAGTGTTTGAATGCTGCCTCCTCTTAGCAATGAGGTCATTGTAAAGGGAGAGTGCCAGGGAGCAGTGGCTGTAGCATTCTAAATGAGAAGGTACAAGTGAAGAATAAGAAGGTTTTGATGCTCAGCAAGAGCCTGGAGCAAGTACGTAGTTTTTGCTTGGAATTTTTTTCAGGCCTACTCTATTGACTAGATGTTGGGATCTGTGTTCAGGGATCCTGACTTGGCTAATTAGGTGGTATAAAACCCTAGAAATTTAATTATGTCCGAGCATTATTTGATTTCTGAGCTCTGGTTTTCTCTTCCCAGCCCACAGGCTGCATCTGTGGAGCCATCATTTTATTTTTGTGGCATGTACACATATGAAGAAACATTTTAAGAATGAAAGGGGGGGTTGGAATAGCTGTCTTTCTGGAAAAGGTTGATTTTTACTTGACTGGAAATAATGTCATGATTTGAAAGTCTCCAGCTCCCTGCTTGTGAAATGAGTTGTTTTGTTTTTTTCTTTTAGCACTAGCACTTTTCTTACTGACTGATAGCTTTCCAGTGGTGACTAACATGGACACGGCCACAGTCTGGATGGCTTGGCAGGTGAAGAGCAAGGTTTCACAAAAAACATCCCAGCAATCCCAGCAATCAGTCTGAGGCAAGCAAGAAATCATTCACTGAGTACTGCTGAGGAGCCAGTGTTCTTGTGCTTTGGGACATTCTTAGGTCAGGAAGTGCTGAATTTGCAGTACAGGAGTTGATTTTAGATTTCACTTATTAAGAGACATTAGCTTCAAGAATTTTGTTGTTGTGGTGTCTTGGTAAAGCACCATGCTTTGGTTGTAGGGAAGTGTGTGTGGATAGACATGCAAACACAAGTGTTGAAACCAATGCTCCTTCATTCACAATATTGCCAGAGCTTGCTGAAGTGCAATGAAGACTGTATCTAGCCCATATTTTTCTAGAATCTAATTTCTAGTGGTTCTCCTAGGAAAACTTGTGGTTTTTTGCATTTTGGCACTGTGATGATGCTGATGTAGTTGTGTGTAATGCAGCACTAAATCATATTTGCCAAATGAGACATTCTTAGTTCATAGGGAGCTGTTAATTTCTGGAAAGTGCCGTGCAAGAAGCAAGTGGAAATTTTTCCTAGCATGGTGTAGTGCACTGCAGAGGCTGGGTGGAGGCATTCTGAGATAAAGATGAGAGTCCATCTGCAGTGGGCAGACAGAGCAGGCAAAGTCCCAAATGCTATAATCAGCACTGGTCCTGCTGTGCTTAAGCTTCAGGGTTACCAATGTGTCGTGACTCAGCAAGAACAGTGGAATCTAAAAGTGATGACTCATGGTTCGCTAGTTTACATGCCAAGTTATCACTTGCTAGAACCTTAAATTCCTTTAAATGTCTTAACAAACATGAAGCAGCTGCTGACACACACTGGAGCCACCAAGTCCCCCCCCTTGTCAGCTGTACTTACATGATAGATTTTTTCCAGCACTTTCTTTCTGGGACTTACACGAATACAGTGTTAGTAATAAGCCATATTTGTGAAATGTTTGGGAGCCTAAATCCAAATCCATTCTGGTTTGGGCTCAAATTGATCACGTGCTGGTAATTCTTACCCAGTTACTATCTTGTCAGTACGTAAGACAGTCATCAGTACAGCAGCATGGAGTGAATGGGCTGTGTTAAAGACACTGCAGTCCTTACACTGCCGGTGGATTTAACCTGAGCCTCCTGATATTCTGCCTTTTCACACAGTTTGACACTTTCTTTTCCCACAGTGTGAAATTGAGTTTCGTGGTCTCTTTGCTAGTAGAAGGCCCACTAACAACTGGAAAAAATAAACCAGATAGGAGTCTCGTACTCCAGGTGGTGTGTTCATTTGATGCACATAGACCAGATTAGAAATTCCTGAGTCTTCTCTTTACCTGTGGCCATCTCTGAGCTTCTGCTTTGTTGCTGCTAGAGAAGATTCTTTTGCTGGTTACCAAAGAGGCTGACTTTTGATACCTACTGGAAATAATTATTTTGTCTACTTATCCATCACTGTAGTTCCATAGATGTGATTGTGGCTGAATGACCAACCTGCTTCTTCTCCGTGCCGCCCGTAGGCCAATGCAGATCCGTCCGTGATAAACTGCTTACACAACCTCTCCCGAAGAATCGCCATCGTCTTGCAACATGAGGAGCGCCGCTGCCAGTACCTGACCAGGGAGGCCAAGCTCATCTTAGCTATTCAGGATGAAGTGTCTGCCATGTCAGAAAGTGAGTGCTGAGCTTAGCTTTGTGCAGGAATATGTTTGTCCAGGAGCACTTTTTTAGAAAAGTGCTGATTGTGCCTTCTTACTTCTGTTGTGGCTGGGATCAGTATGAACAAGTTTTGGTGCTCTTTAGCATTCTGACAGCTTTTGACTGCATTTTGCCTCATCCAAGATCACTGTCCCTATGCAGAGATGTCAGCTTTAGAAGTGAAGGACCTTGTTTACTTTCCTTGCTAGCTCAGTCCAGTGCAATCACTGGAGAACGTGTACTGAACCATCATGTTGGGATCTGCCTGTCAGGCTGAGGTGGAAGAACTCATATGTACCCTGCTTCACCCAACCTAGAGCAAGTTTCCCATGCTTTGATGCTGTGTGCTGAGTCACCAGAGGACTTCTGTGGAAACTCTGCTCTTACATGGCTAGCAAACAGTTACAGAACATTTTTATACTTGGGAGCAATTTACTATAATAATATGCACTGTCTCAGGTGAACTCTATCTGCTGCATCATCTTGCTGCAAGCATTAAAAATTAAAACTAACATATAAAACCCAAAACACTTCAAATCATCACTTGTCAAATTCAGAGTTACATGTGCTTAAATGAATTGAGGTTTAGGAGGAGTTGGCAGTAATTCACTATTGTTATTTTAACATGTAACTTGAGTTATTGTGAAAACTTTGGAAGATAATTGGAGATTAAGAAGATATGGCTTCTGTCCCTAAGATACTGGTTAATACCTAGTGGGGGAAGAGGAAACTCTCTTTGCTTTGAACTCAGTTGTTTGCTTTCTTGTTTCCAAATTTTCCATAGCCACAGAAGGGCCACAGTCACCTTTTCATCACATCCTACCCAAGTGCAAACTGGCCAGAGATCTCAAAGAGACATATGACAGGTGAGTTTTCTTCGTAGCTCATAGTATGCTGCTTCTCACTGAAACCTCTTGGCCTTGTTCCTTAGGATATTATCCACCTCTTTGTGCTGTTGACTCATTGAGATTTGAGTTTTAGACCAAGTGGAGCGATGTGAAGGTTTGCTGTCATGTGAAATGTTTGCAGAATTGCTGTGCTAATCATTATCTTGGTCTCCCTTTGGATATGTTACAGCTCTTAAAGGCTGGTGATGTCTGTAACAGCTTTAAGGAGTATTATTTTCTTCCTTAGCACAGAGGCACATAATGACAAGTGAATTGTAGAATTGAGTGTCATAATATGAGTATCATATCTCTACAGAAGTGTGCTAAACCTGCAGCTAGGAGAAACCTGCATCTAAGCATTGATGGCAGGTCAGATACTGCCCTGGCTTTGTTCAGTTACACTGTGCATGTCTGGACAGTGAATTTGGATTAGGTGGTGAGACTTCCAGCAGAATGGAAAGTGTAACATGCTGTTTCTTGACCGGGTTGAAAGTTCTGGCAAGGATTTCAAAGGAGTGTGGAGCTAGTGTTGAATTTCAGCAGAAGCTGGCAGCAGCCTCCTCCAGTGTACTGCTGCTCTGACGGCTTTTCAGTGCTGACTCCTCGTGCAGAGCGGACACCTCCATTCACCATACGTGCTTGGTGAAAGACCTTGACAAAGGAGCACAGGAGGTGTTGGTGGGGAGGAAGATGATCTGCCCCTCGATTAGGATGTTTATCAGGGCTTGGGAGAGTTACTCTGGAGTTCCTTGACTGACTGTAGAGCATGTTGTATGATATTAGACAAACCCTTGAGCCTCCCTAGGTTGCAGTTCCCCTGTACAAAGGGAAAAATCACAAAGCTCTGTAAGGTGAGGCACTGAAGGCCTCAATAATGTAATGATTGCAAAGCACATTGGAAAACTTCCAATAAGCTGTTACTTGTTATGTTCAAGAGCTGTGAATTTCAGCTTGTTTGGAAGGGATGTTGTATATTGTTTGATACAACTCGTAGAAAACCTGTAATAAAGTTTAAAATAAGGCACTTTTTATGTAGCCTGTAATTCTAGTATTAAACTTCACCGGCTACTTACTTTTATCTCTTCCTCTAGGGCTATGTATTTGTGACTGGACAAACCCTGATCTTGTTTCCAAACATTTTAGTGACACAGTGACACCTTGTGGCATTTAGCTGTGACTGGAGAAACATCCAGCCCAAGCTCATGGAATGTGCCAGCACCACGACTCTGAGATAAGGAGGAATAGACTGACCATGGAGAAACACACATTGTTGCTGACCCTAGACGTGAAATAAGGCAGAGACTCCCTCATTTACACATTGCAAGTGGGGGAGAAATGGTGCAGGTTATATTTTAACACTTTTGCATGACATTGTCATAAGCAAATGTAAGAAATAAGATGTTGGTAAAAATAAAAAATCAGTCATTTAAGTGGGAAAGCTCTATTTGAAGAGTAGTTAACAGTGGTGTTGGCTGGCTGGGTAATAAGGTGATATTTTTCCATTAAAATTCATTTGAGAGAATAAAGAATATGTTTATTACACCTGCTCAGGTGAGAGGGGCTGCAACAGCTTGTTGGGCAGGTGTAGAATTAATTATTTTTTTTTTAATCAGGTAGAAGAAATGGTCTAGAAATAGGATTTTTATTCTGCAAATCCAAGATGAAGAATTCCTGAGTGGCAGCAGCTCTAGAGTGAAGTCTGTGTGGTCTTTTAAGAAATGAGGGTTAGCCACCAGTGACATGGGGTTGCAGAAAAAGCAAACAGATAAGAAGACATAAAATAGAAGTCGTGTGTGTAAGATGGGAACCAGTCTTGCTCCCCTGCTGTAAATGAATACTGCTTCCAGTTTTGGGCACCACATTTCAAGAAGGATTTGGGCCACCTAGGGAGCGTGGAGGAGTGAGAATGACCTGAGAGGAAAGATGGAAAGATTTGCTCTGTTTCTTTTAGAGGAGAGAAGACTGCGGGGAACTGTAAATCTTCAAATGCGTGCGGTGACAATGTGCTGTTTTAAATGTAGAGGGATTTCTGGCATAGCCTTCGGCGTAGGGGAGCAGCATAGTAAGGTGGAGAGAGCACTTTGAATTGCAGATGGGAGCCCAGCTCTCCACTTGAGATTTGCTCAAGCCAGCATTTCCTAGTGCCTGCTGATTTCTGCAGTTGAAGGCCTCATGAATTACCAGGGCTGCTCCAGAGGTGCTGTCTCACCCCTGGTTTCCTGTAGATGGTGCTGAGGTATTTCAGGCAAGACCCAACACATCCCTTAGCAAGTTGGTTTGTACAAAACCACAAGTGTATGAATCTTGTTAGAGTTCAAAATGTCCTTTGCGTTTGGAATAAAATGCCTCTATTTTATAAGGCAGGAATCAGTCTCCTTGTCATGGTGACTGTAACACTCCAGCTGCTGTTCATGGTGACTGTAACACTCCAGCTGCTGTTCATGGTGACTCTAACACTCCAGCTGCTGTTCATGGTGACTGTAACACTCCAGCTGCTGTTCATGGTGACTGTAACACTCTACCTGCTGTTCATGGTGACTGTAACACTCTTCCTGCTGTTCATGGTGACTGTAACACTCCAGCTGCTGTTCATGGTGACTCTAACACTCGTCCTGCTGTTCATGGTGACTGTAACACTCTAGCTGCTGTTCATGGTGACTCTAACACTCATCCTGCTGTTCATGGTGACTGTAACACTCCAGCTGCTGTTCATGGTGACTCTAACACTCCAGCTGCTGTTCATGGTGACTGTAACACTCCAGCTGCTGTGGCAACAGACTCTTAATAAACTGACTGTTTAGAGGAAATCTGCATCTAATTCCTGGGACCTTTTTGGATTCTAATGAAGAAAAATAGAATGTTTCTTTTTTATTAGTTCAGACAATAGATTTGAGTGTCTTCATTCATCTTGTCCCCAAACTCCAGCATTGGTGTGGAACAAAAAGCAGTGACTTTAAGACCAAGGAAGTCCAGTTGCCAATACCTCCAGCGCTGACAAATTTACCAGGGTGTCTCTTTGAACTCAATGTTAAATTTAGGGAATTAAGACAACTTTCACCAAGTTTTATCTGCAACTGCAGATAATGTTAGCTTGATACTAGCTAACTGCCTGCCTGTTTTTAGCAAAATTCTCTTAGCTTTATATTGGAATAAAAGTGAAAGTATTGGGAGGTTTTTGGGGAGGATTGGATTGTTTGTTTCTTCTTTTTAATGCACAAAGAACCTTTCTACATTTTTAGCCTAGTGGGATTTGAACTTACTGGTAGATCTAGTCTATCTCAGCAGCTCAGGGAGAAGTAGAATAATTATATGAGATTTAATGAATTATTAGATGTTATTTGTGTGGCTGTACTGTAAAATATAAAGCAGCTACAGTTATTTGATCAAAGGACGGGCAATGTGTCCTTTACAAGGAAATGTGAAGTCATTTCAAAGCTCTAAGTAGTCACAACCTCTAGCAAAAATAAATAAACTCCAAAGCTACAAGATCACCTCCACCAAACTTGAAAACATATTAATCATTTCTGATATAAATAGGATAGACATGGGGTGTGTATATGTAAAAATTCATAACTCTTTTATAAAATATGAGGTGGGATTGTCTTTGCTTTGCCAGTAGTTATGAAGAAGAAGGCTGCAGTTCTGTGGGTACTGGCCAACTTTTGGGTTCCCCTTTTGGGGCAGTGGCTCACTGTGACTGTTCAGGGCAGAGCAGAATAGAGCAAAAGAGCAGTGATATTCCTAAAAATGCTCCCCAGCTTCCTGCAGCTCTGTAGGTGGTTTCTGTATATTCATCAGCCTTCAGCTGATCTCACTTCCCGGAATTAGTCCCCAGTGCTGTGAGCCAGAGTAAATATTTAACAACCGCAGCATCCTCTGATAAGAAGGTCCCTGGCTTAACTAGTTTCTGTGTTTCTTTCTATTTCTTTTGAACTTTGCTCCTTCTAGTATCATGAGATGTCTCATAGGTCTTATGATGGAGAGATGTTAAACAGCTTTTTCCTATTTACTTCTCCTTGTCTCCATTTTAGACTGTGATATCCCCTGTCATTATCCTAACCCCTCACCATCTCTCCCTCAGCACCACTCACCCTGTATTATCTAACCAGAGATTTTTTTTTAAAAAAAAAGCTCATCAAAACTAATTTTAATGGGATAAAATGAAATGTCTTGGACAGTTTAGTAGCCAGTCTGAGAATGGGGAATGAAGCTATTTTTGCCCAGAATGGGGAATGAAGCTATTTTTGCCCAGTTACTCTTGAAGTCTGTGGGAAAATGGAAAAATTGGAGCAAAGTCTCTGGATACCAGTTAACTGATAGAACAGCAGATGAAATTCAGTGTAGATAGATGGAAAGTAGTGCACATAAGGCCAAACAACCCTTATATAGCACATAACTGGTCTGCAAAGAGCTTTTGGAATTACAGCAGATAGTTCAGGGAAAATGGCAACTCCGTGAAAAAGCTCAGGGTGCAGTAACACTGCAAAAAATCCCCATAAAATGTGAAGAGTAGTTAGGAAAGGAGCAAAGAACAAATTCTGTGTGTTCCTGGTGTACCTCCTGCACCTTTGAATCTCTGTGCAGTTCTCAATTTTCTATCAGGGGCTACTTAAACTGTGTCCCTGAGGCTCATGGCTTGCAATGCAGCCAGTGTGGTGTTCTCACCTTCCCACAGCCCTGCCTCTTCCTGGGCTCTTTTCTCCACTGTTCTAGTTGGGTAAGAAGAATAAAGCAGACTTGGAGCTAGGTGACTCCCTGCTGCGACTTTCCAAACTTGTTTTCTTGGTGTTCTCTTCTGTTGCAGTTTTTTGCCATTCTGCTTCTGCCCCTAAAAGAAGGTGGCTTCTGGGTCTGCTGCTCCCCAGCCAAAGAGCTTGGGGCCAGCTCATGGAGATTTGTGAGGCTCGCAGTAAAGAGCTTGCTAAATAGATGACTTCATGGGGAATCTGTAAAAAATGGAGGCAAATGTGGAGCTGAACTTCACTTTCTGTGACTCGACTATATTTCATGTTGCATGAATTTTTGTGTATATATTTGTGAGATTACTGAACTCTGTTGGCTGGCGAAGGGCAGTCGCATACACTGTTGCTGGACAATGTAGCTTATTCCTTGTGAAATTATTAGAGACTTAAATTATTTTCCATCCAAGGAGGGGCAGGTGAAGGAGAAATTATGTACATAAAGCTATAATGAAGGCCTGAAATTGTACAGTTGAATGCAAATGTAGAGGAATTAAATTAAGATCCAGATCAGAACTGAAAATCTGGTTTTCTTGTTGTCTTTAATTCTAGGCTATTGTTGTATAGTGCACTGTAGACAAAATTATGCTGTGGAGGGTGTAATTATGTAATTAAAGCTTCTGCCTTGCTGCACTTGGACCAAAGAATGGAAAGAACCAACTGTATTTTTTTTTCTCTTTCCTAAATGTTAAACTATACAGGGAGAATAACCCTGCAAGTATTTAATGCTTTCACGTTCTCTGCTTCTTTTCAGCAACCTCTTTTAACAACCCCAGCAGCTTTCAGGTAGTCTCTTGGCTCGCTTGTCTCATGTATTGTTGTGTTCTCTCTTGTGAGTATTTGCCCTGGTAGATAGTGTGGATAACTGCTGCTCCAGGGTGCCCTTTGCCTTGGTGTATTTTGAGAGAATCCAGCTTTATCTGTCAGTTGGTGTGTGTCTGGTGGGATAAGCAGCATTACTGGAGTTGCAGCATTTAACGCAAGAAGAAACGGAGGTGTTTGCTGTGCTTTGCATATTCCTTCGGGGTTTGGAGTCTCTGATCAGAGCTGAGGTGGTAGCAGCAGAGAGACAGTGGATTCATCCTTTTTAAAAAAAAGGAAAACATGTATAGTATCTGCTCCATTTGCAATTTGAAAATTTGTTAATTTTCAGAGGCCAGTGCAAGATTTGAGCACAAAACCGTGGCCTTTTGGAAAGTATTGTCTGCAGTGAGATGTTCCCTAATGAGTCTGATGATGCACGAGGCAGGAGGGGATCGTGTTTGCTCTCTCACCACTCTGTTGTGGTTTGGTGAATAGTTATACTGGCAGCCAGAGCTACCCAGTGTTTTTGTTCTAAAGCTGAATTTTCAGGTCTCTCTAAACCCTGTATACAACCAGATGAACTTGAAAAAGTGCATGTTAGTTTGTGGCCTACAGTTGAATGCTAGGTAGAAGTGTTTAAATCACCACATAAAGAGTTTCCAAGACATGTATTTGCTCCTGGCCTGTTCCTGCTGGATTTTTAAATCTGTTTTGCGTAGAGGGGAAATTTGTGGGTGTTTTCGACACAAAAGTCATATTGCAAGTCTCAACACACTTGAATTTAAAATTCAGACTGGAATTTTCTGAGTGCAAACTTTGAAATTCTATTTTAGGCAAAAAAAAAAATAAATTCTTTTGGAACTCAGTTTTTAAAATCAAAGGACATATTGACAAATTTGGCTCACCAGTGAAAACAAGATCAGCTGTTGCTTCAGATTGATTTGCAAGTGTATGTGACTTCCTATCTCAATATACATGAAAAGATGCAGTGGGCCTTGCTTCCTCCTCCCTGCTCAGTCCCACTGCCTGTAGAACAGCTGTCCTCTTCTGGGATGTTATCCTTATGGTGTCTTTACCCATTTTTAAGTAAATCTAGTTATCTACCTAGGTATTTTTTGAACGTTGTCTAGATTTACAGCCTTCTGTAAAACTACCTGAATGATGTTCATTGCTCTGATCTCCCGGCTTTCTTGGATTTTTCAGTAAAAGAAGCTTATAGTTGCTTTCAGGCTGAACATGAGGGTCAGACTTAATTGTCATTCTTGAGATGTCCATCATTTTCACTCTAGTCCTATTGTCTGAAGTCAGCTTAAAGGCTTAGCTTAGTCCCTGTGGTTTCCTAGAATGAAGAAAAACATTTAACAAGCATGTTTATGATTTCATGTGACAAGCAGGAGCAGGTTAATAGAAAACAACCAACCTAAGCAGAACCAAAGGAGTCCGTTATTGTGGAAATGTTCTGCTTGTAACACCCCTTGCCCAGTACAGACATCTCCATCTCCTTTTCTTTTTCCTTGGAGAGGAAGATGGAAATTGGAGGTGAAAACGTTGTTCCAAATTAATCTTTGCCCTTTGCAGCTCTGGTCTAGGGAATTTTCCAGTGCCTTACAGTAGATCTTCAAGAAACTCTTTTAACTTGAGATACTGCTGCAATGTTAAGAGCAGAGGGAGCAGAAGATCAGTGGGGTGAAGTCTTTCCAATCCCCCCCAGATCCTCGTAGGGGATAATGCTCTGTAAGTACAAGTTAAGGAAGCCCCTGCAGCTAGGAATGAGCTGGTCCTCAGCCAGTCTGGGAACAGCCAGGGTACATTCAGTCTTTTCTTGTCCTGATGTGTTTCCTGTGCAGGGGTGAATCGGAACTGCTGTTTTCATTTGTTATACATGGTAAATGCTGTCTGTATTTGTTTTCTTCCTATTTTAGTCTCTGCACAACAGGGGTGGTCCGTTTACACATCAACAACTGGCTGGAAGTGAGTTTCTGCCTGCCTCATAAAATCCATTATGTTGCTACAAACTTTATACCCCCTGAAGCAATTGAGAGAAGCCTGAAATCTATCAGGTAAGAGCAAGCTCTGTCCTTCAGAGGGTGGCTGATCTTTCCTCCAGTTCCAGGTGTGATGCTGCAGATGTCTGTGCTGGCATAGCTGGGGGGATGAAGTGACACTGAGCTGTAGCATGGGGACAGCATGGGCTGAGACAGGACTCCCTGAAGCTGATGCTGCTGTATACATGGCAGTGTGAAGCCACAGCCTTTGCGTTAACATTCGGTGGTTGTACTGAGGTGATGCTGCAAGGGAAGTCTGTGCTGTTTCCAGTCAGAGGAATTGTGTGTTCATTTGAATCTATTGACCCAGAAATAATTGTGCTTGTAGAAGAAAGAGAACCCAGGCCTCATGATATCTTATTTCCTGCATTCCATGTTTACAGCTTTTTACCTGCAAAAGTAACTAACTCTTGCTTGCTTCCTTTCTCCTGCTCCATTCTGTATTCCAGTAATGCAGATGAGCACATTTCAGACTAGTCTCCAGGCTTAATTGCATGCCAGCACAGTGCAGTTTGTGTTTTCTAGTCACTGGGACATCCAGTTACCATATAGCCCTCTATCTCCTTTTTATAGGGAGCATCTTACCTTATGACATAAAAATAAGGTTATGAATTATTATTAGTGGCTTATTCTGAACCCACTTACAGCAAAAGGATTATATTAGAAGTTCTTTTTTTACCAGTAGATTGACCCCAGGTATTCATGGTCTAGGAATAACAAAGCCTTCAGGAAAAGCTGCAGTTTACTGTGCAAATGTATTCTATTTTTTTCTGCAGGCCTTACCATGCCTTATTACTTTTAAATGATGAGAAGTCATTGCTTAATGAGCTCCCGTTGGACTGCTCTCCTGCCCTGGTGAGAGTAATTAAAACTACCTCTGCTGTGAAGAATTTGCAGCAACTAGCTCAAGATGCTGACTTGGCATTGCTGCAGGTACGGGGAGCTGTCAGTGGCAGCTGAAATTCTTTTAAATCACCGGGTGTTTTCTTTCTGTCTTTTCTTTCTGTCTTTTCTTTCTCATGCCAGTGACTTTCTGTGGTACGTGAGCACATCAGTTCTCTCAGTGTGAGCAGAGTGCACAGAGAAGGTGTGAGCCTTAGAGCATGGGGAAGGGTTAGAGAAATGAAGGGCAGCAATGCAACAACAGCGCTCGACAGTCCTGCAGCCACATCTGAGTTACAGATTGTGTGGGGTAGCAGGCGTGCATGGAGGTCTCTAGTCCACACCACTGCTCAGAGCCAGTCCATTAAAGCAGGCTGCTCAGGAACTTGTCCGTTCAAATTCTGAATGCCTCCAGGGATACCTCCCACAGCTTCTCTGGGCCCTGCTCCAGCATTTGACCAGCATCAGACTGAAAAACTTTCCTCATACCCAATGGGAATTTCCCATCTTCCACCTCCTGTCCCCTCCCTCCTGTGCCCCTCTGAGGAGAATGGCTCTGTCTTCTCTGTGCCTTTCCACTAGGTAGTTAAAACCAGAACAAATAGTACTCTTGACTTACACCACAGTGGTCTGTCTTGGTTCTGCCATGTTGATGTCTATGTGCAAATGGAGGCACCCAAAATGCAAGTGAAAGCTTACAGCTGCCATGGACAAATACATTGCTTCCTCTGGATCTGCCAAGATCTTTTCTACTAAAGAGCTCTGAAAGCCTGTGCAAACCTGCCCATGGATTTCCCTTAGTACCTCAGTGCACGGACTTTGCAGAGTCCCAGGAAGAAGCTCTAGCTTAGGCTTGGGCAAAAATTTTGAGCCGTTCTCTCCAAGCCAACAGCTCTTTCTGAAGGCCTTTCCAGTACTGGCAACCAGATTTCAAATCTGAATTGCTCAAGGTGATGTGATGAGCCCTTGAAAAGGGAAATTCATGCCAGTGGAGAGGATGAGACTGTGGCAATCACGTGAGACATGAGGCCACTGAAGACTACAGTGGATGACTGCGGTCATTGTGGCCCTTTGCTTGTCGGACCTGATGGTTATATTAGATGATGAGGGAGAGGGGAGAGCCACTCTGTGCTTCTAAGGGTCAGCTCATACCCAGGCATGTGATCTGTGCTCTGTGTGACAAGAGAGAAGGACATGGCTTGTCATCTCAGCTGCTCCTGATCATAGGTCTGTGCCTTCTCTTATTCAAAGGGAAAGATCCTGTTTTGTAATAGAATTTCCAGGTTGCTTACAGTGGTCTGTGGTGTTACTTGGTGTAATATAGCTATGGGATGAACTCTGGAAATTCCCTACTGCTTCTGTAGTTTTGTTCTCCACAAAAAAGCCAAGTTAAATGCATCTAATGATACAGGCTGGATTTCATGTCTCATACACGCTATTTATGTGGCTCTTCCAGAGCCATTAACAACCACTGACTTGTTTAACACATTAAAATACTTGGTGTAACTCATTACTGAAAAAGCTCAGTGCATTAAAAAGGTGGTGTTGGTTTCCTTTATGTTTGTGTCATAGTAGAGGCTGATTCTTTTTTTTAATTATTTTTCATGTGTAAGACAATGCATTTTGTGCATAAACAAAAATATTTTGGGGGGGGCATGAAAAGTAACTAAACTTCTATTGATACAGTTTGAGGAAATGCCTTTAAGGCAGGAAATATTAAGTTACTTAGAAATGTGTAGCGAACCTCTGGAAATTCATAACTTTGTCAAATGCTTTTTGATGTCCCACATGTTACATTAAACCATGAATTTATTTTGAAGGCAGGGTGAAAGGATAGAATGTTTTCATTTCAGTTCCAACAAGACTTTTCTGTCATCCTATGGAACTCTTGCTGAGACTTTGAATTTTGCTTTTGCTCCCTTAATTTCTCCCTGTTTTCTCACTGCAGGTTTTCCAGCTTGCTGCACATCTTGTTTACTGGGGAAAAGCAATTATTATTTATCCGCTGTGTGAAAACAATGTCTACATGCTTTCTCCAAACGCCAGTGTCTGTCTGTAAGTAGAAGGAAAATGAGTGACTGTAGCAACAAAGGGGTGAGAAGTGCAGATGTGCTTTTCTTCCCTCTCTTACTGGGTACAGAGTGGGCTCTTTCTTCACTTAGCAATTTGTTGAGACTGTACAAAACACAAACCAGTACATGTGCCTTAACTTGCAAAGCCAAACAGGAGTTTGTGCGTGGTAGGGAGGAACATCGTAACAGATCAGTGTGCTTCTGCAGTGAATATTGCTTGGAAGCAATATTGACCCTGTGAAGCTGCTTTTACTATTTTGAGTATGCTTGCTCACTGAGTGTCTGTATCAGAAAGGCTGGATGAATGTGAAACAATATGGAAACATGTACAAAACAAAATACTTTATGATTAAGTTAACTGAGTGTTTTCTAGGACTGTCTGTGTATCTGGCACACAGCATCACCTGAAATTAATCAAAAGTGTCAAATCAGGGTAGTGTTGCTATCGCTCTTGTGTAGTTTCATGCGATGGTGTGTTGCAGACAGAAGGCAACGTGGCCATTTTGAGAGCAGGCAGCAGCAATGCACGGAAGATTTGGAGGCAGTGGTGGGTATTTTTCCTGTCCGGAAGACTGGCAACCTTTTCTATGTAGGATTTTGAGACTTTTTAGAATCTGTGTTGGAACTCAGTTATAGGAAAATAATTTTAAATCAAAACTTCTGTGATGGAAGTATAAAAATAGAGCTGGAAGGGACCTTAAGGTCGTTCAGGAACAACTGTGCCTGTGTCATATATGGCAGTGCTGTTCTTAGACCTTTGTAGATTGAAATCCTAAGACAGATTGTTTTCCTAATATTTAACTTGACTCTCTTTTACTTCTGATCAGTCATATTGCTTGTCCTGTCAGCATAGGCAGCGAGAACAGTTACATCTGCAGCTGTATTTTGCATATTCAAAGATTTTGTGTATATCCTGCCCATCCCTGTCTTTTCCTGACTGCCCAATCCCTGTTCCTTTCATCAGAGACTGCTCAGGTCTAGATTTTTTATCATTTTTATTTTTCTCTAGATTTCCTCTGTGCTTTGAATAATGTACTGGAGCTGAATGTAACACCAAGATGAAGATGCATATGCTCCTGGCTTCCTTTTGCAGGATGCAACATGCCATAAGCTGTTTTTCTAGATCTCACAGAGTGTTTCATTTGGGCACTGGCACTTCTATAATGCTTAAATAGATAAATGTTACACTGACCAGCAATGTGAAACTGATTTCTGCCTTTACCTCTTTTCTATAGTTATTCTCCATTAGCAGATGCATTTTCTTGTCAGTTCCGAGGCCACAACCTGCCGTCGATGCTTTCCAAGTTCTCCCTCCCAGTGTCCCTCTCGGAGTTCAAGAATCCGCTCGCGCCGCCCGTTCAGGAGGTGAGATGGGGATGAGAACAAGGAGTGGTGTTGCTGCTGGAGTACCTAGTCAGGAAGCCTGTCATTGCAGGTTTAGAAGTTGCCAATTACTGTATTTCCATCCATAGGATTTGTTGTTTCATGTCCACTTGCCAAAAAGCTGTAGGGATGTTCAAGGTGAAGCTGTGTGGATGCTCTGTGCTAGCAAAGCACAATCCTAAAAAGAAAAATCAGAATGTTTATTTTCCTTGAGTGATCTAGTAGGGAAAACTGAAACTCCATTTGGTCTGCTAAAAACTATCATAGAATCATAGAATCATAGAATGGTTTGGGTTGGAAGGGACCTTAAAGCTCATCCAGTCCCAACCCCCCTGCCATCAGCAGGGACACCTTCCACTAGACCAGGTTGCTCAAAGCCTCATCCAGCCTGGCCTTCAACACTTCCAGGGAGGAGGCAGGGAGGAGGCAACTATCATAAATTAGTAGGGCTGAATGCAAGTTTGTGGATTCCTCACAATCACATTTAGTTTTTTTTATATTCCATCTGCTTTAAGTTCACAGTCTGTTTTTAAAACTGAACTGTATTCACTTAGTTTTTGCTATGAAACTGGAATTGTTTAGCGGCTGTTACAGGAAGTAGACTCAGCATGCAGTCAACAGAAGTCCATGTGTTACAGCATTAGCATTTTAATGTTCAGATTTGGGATAATAATATACAGATTTTGGATTTGTGAGCTGTTGTTTTGCTTAGGCATAGATCACGGCTTGCAGCATTTCTGGGAACTGGTGAAGTGCAAAAAAGAGCTCAATAATATGAGGTCTCCTGGCTGACACTGTTATATTCCCAGATGAAGAACCCTGGGCACCTAAACACAGCTCATTGTGGCACAGGAAGCACAGACAGATTTCTTTAGCTGATTTCTTGTGGTGTTGTTCGCTAGCCTTCATACTTGGATGACTTGCTGGCTGCATGAATTTAGCCACTGTTCAGATGGCTGGAAGATTAACATCAGTTGCACACACAGGCACAATTGTGAGAGAAGAATTTGTTGTAATGACAGGTTGGCAGAGATTATGATCAGAGATAAAGATAAGTAATGATGTAGTGTCTAATCCTGATAGTATGTACTGGTCGGCTGCCACCTTGGGAGGCAGGGAAGAGCACTTTTACTGTTTTGTCATTACTTCATTGTAGTTACAGACAAATCTGTATCCTGAAAATTGAAGCTGGATTAATAGCATTCATTTTATTCTAGCTGCAATAGCTCCAGGAGGCATTCTTATTCTCATTACTCCTTTTAAAATTAATGACTTGCCTTAATACTTCTGGTTATTCTCAGATGTCCCACTTTTGTTTAACATACACAAATGAAGTCTGCCAGTTACTGCTGCAGGTATACCTTGGAACAGCGGTGCGTGATCAGTGTTTGCCAGTGCTGTTGGAGTGCTACAATGGCTCTTCTAGAGTGTGTGCCTTCTCTCTGATGCTCACCTGTCCATGGTGGAGACCTGAAGGTCAACAGCACGGCTTGTTTTCATCCTCTGTTCAGTGTGTATGGAAGGGTGAAGAGTGATGCTGTGAAAAGCTACGGAAGTGCCTTCCACAGTATGGAAAGGGGAGGTGAGAACTGTGGTGGCAGAAGACTTGGGGCCACGTTGGCAAGACGTGTGTGAAGATGGAGACCACCATACACTGGTGGGCTGTTTTGAGTCATGGCAAGCTTCTTTTTGATAGTTAAGTGTGACAGTTGTTGAGGGAGTTTAGACTAGAGAGAGTTTTTAGATGTCTTCATATCAGTACATTTTCTTCTACTTTGATTTACCTGTGTAGAACTCTTTGTATTACTGTTTTTATTAGGAACTAGCCTTTTAAGAGAGATTAATCTGTCCTGAAGTGGTCAGACTCCAACTGTAATTAACAGAGATCTATTCGATAGACAAATTAATCTGATGAAATGTGGGTGGGTTTTTGTTCTGCTGTGCAGTGATAAAAGATGCTGCACTCTGAACTGTAAATACTGTCAAATTGTATTTGCTTTGACCTGGAAAAAAATTAACAAAGTTGAGAACTCTCAGTGTAATTTTGTGAAATACATGGGAGGAGATGTGAGGTTTTTAACTTTGAAGGTTTTCACCAGTAGTCATGTTACCTTGTGCTTTTCATCATGCTGACTGTGCTGTGTTTCTGAAGGTCATCTGTGCTACAAGGTCAGTACTGTGGGAAGGGCTGTGTTTTCTGCAGGAACTGTTACGGTTTCATGGCATCCATCCTATTTGATTCTTGTCTTAAGCGTGGGATTGGCTCCCTCCTATTGGCACGTGCTTCTGGATGGGCAGAGAATACGGAAGGCATTAATAAAGCCTACAGTACAAGATAGGAAATCTGTTAAAGAACCCTTCCTCCTGTTTTTATGTGAAGTGGCACTGCTTGATTTGAAAGAGGAAAAAGTTGTTTCTGTTTGCTGTGGGTGGAATTGCTCTGTTCCTTTGGGTAGATGAAAAAAAAAAGTGACACTGGCATTTTTATACTTGGGGTGCTGTGGTGTTTTTTGGCTGGTAGGAGGTAAAAACAACCTGCGATACCCTGAGCAAGGACGAGGACAAGACTGCCTTGAAAGATGGAGCACGTGTCTACATTCTGCTTTTGGTGTCTGTCTAGTAGGTGTAAAAACAACCTGCGATACCCTGAGCAAGGATGAGGACAAGACTGCCTTGAAAGATGGAGCACATGTCTACATTCTGCTTTTGGTGTCTGTCCAGTAGGTAGGAGATGTCCAGTGAGCAGTGTCTGCCCGGACTGCCAGCGCTCTCAGCTGTGCCCCGTGCTAGAGACAGGAATTCTCTTGAGCCTGTTGTCTTGGTCTCTTTTCTTGCCTGCAATGACGAGCGGTATTTTGCAGTTGAACTCTGTGGTTGTTGTATATCTCTCAGTGGCCTTGTGCTTATAATTTGACAAGGTTTTGGTATTTGTGTAGTGATCCCTATGCTAGTGATCTCTCCCTTCCTCCGCCTTTAACCTGCCTTGCTTGGATTGCAACGTTGCAGCAGCATGAGGATGAGCCTGTGCCTGCAGCTCAGTTGATCTAATGATATCTGGGTGCTGCTGAGAGGAGGCCCTGTTTGTCCTTTCTACTCAGGTGTGTGCACACGTGCCTCCTCCTTTCCCTCTTCTCCATGTGCCAGAGCTCTGGCTCCTGTCCAGCTTGCCTCTGTTTCAGCCGCACTAGTTTTCTGCCAGGTTAGCAGGTGGAATTTGCTCAGGGGGAGATCCAGCAAGCTCCAGGGCTGGTGCAGAACCAAGGAGGCACTTCTGCAGCTGGGGATGTGAGTGAGCAAAGCAGAAGCTATTTTCCCCTTTTCACGGTGGTAAGTTGTCTGTTAGCTCTGCCATGCTGTGTACTGTCATCTGGACTTGCAGCAGTCCAGTGCAGCCTGGGACTGTCCTGAACAGCAACCAGTTTAGCTCATGCTGCTGGTGCTGGAGCTCACCACGGTCAGGAGATCCTGTGAACTGATACAGTAGGGAAACTCGTCTCTCCTTTTAGTGTTTTTACTGGAAAATAAGCAGTTTGCATCTCCTCCACCCTGACCCCAAAGAAGCTGTCCTTCCTTCTGCTGCCTGTGCCTCTTGGTTCCTGTCCCTGTGCTCTCCTCTTGCATGTGTGGCACAGCCTTGATGTGACTGTGGAGCCCACCAAAGAGGAGCTCTAGTGATGTTCAGTGTGGTGCACACCCCATCATATCCTCCTGTGAAAGCACAGGGACACTTGGTGACCTAAATCCTTTAGGTCAGCACATGTTCATTGGCAGAGCACCTGTACTAGGCACTGCGGTGTGGCAATGCTTTAACCTGCTTTTCAGTGCAAGGCTTTTTTTGTACAATATCCAGGTTTCTTTACTCAGCTACTCTGCACTAAGTTTCTTTGCAAACCGAGAGAAATGGATAATGCTTGTGGCTTCTCCTCATTCATGCAACTCTGAAGAGAAGGACTTGGGAGTGGT